ATTTATAAAAAGTGGGTCTCTTAGCCTCTGGGCTTTGCAAGTAGAGGGGGATGAGAACACCTAATTGGCAGAGATTAGAGAATTCCTAATTGGTGTTCCATTCCATGTTCTATAGAAATTATACAGTGGAAATATACATTTTTTAGCTAAGGCCAAGTGCTTGTATGTCAATATCTTGGTTTATGCTGTTGAATAACTAGTAGTGCTTTTACTGTGATTTATGGCAGAGTGGTTTACTTTTATCGGTAGACAAGCACCTTCTAATGTGCCAGGTTCACCATATGCCATTAGATTCTCTTCAAGTGTTACCGAGTCATCTGCTATGAAACCTATGAATGTCTCTACTTATTCATGCGGTGATAATTCACTGGGCTGTTCCTGCGGTGATTGCCCTTCATCTACAGTTTGTTCCAACACAGTTTCACCAGTTTCCCGGAAAGGAGGTTCATGCTCAGTGAGAATTGGGTCCGTTAAGGTGAGAGAGCATATTGTAGAATATTTGTAACTTCTGGCTCGCACATCAATTACCTTGTTCATATTGGAGGCAGATTCACGTAGGTAGTGTGAAATCAGGTACTATAGATGCTTTGTTTATATGATTTCCTCGTGTGAGAATTGCAGGCTAAATGTATTGACCTTGCTGTAGCGATTCTATATATCGTATTAGTTTCTGTGTTCTTCGGATGGGGTTTGTTTCATCGGACTAGAAAAGCCAACCCAGCTTCTGTGACAAAACCTTGGTGGACTGTAATGGATGACAGTGAAGTTCATTCTGTTAACAGGGAGAAGAATGAAAATCCTCCGATGCAGGTGAAAACCAATTTCGTTTCGAAGTATGTATATATCAATTATGTGTGTTCTGAAATTTATATCAGTTATGTTATGTGTATGGTTTGAAAGTTTAAATTTACTTCTGTGTTTTATGATTTGATGGTATATGTGCTTTTAGCTGGCCATCTGCATTCCATCTATCTGCTAAGATTTATGGATCATATATGTCATTTCTGAACTCACCGGCCACAGTCCTGGAATCATGTTTGGTTTTTTCCATTTTGTTGCCATTTTTATGACCATTGTAAGTTTTTGTTTTTTGGTCAAGTGTAAGTTTTTGTTTCTATGAAGAATTTCTTATACCATATCATATTACCTACCTACATTGATAAACTATGCACAGAATGGGGATATGCTTAGGAATTTATTTTTCATATGTTTCTTCATTTAGCAACAAAACAGGAATTATCACCAGAACTTTTGCTCAGTTCTACTAATATTGTCTTCCTCTTTAACTGTTTTATAAATTTTT